AAATTTGAAAAAAAGGGAGTTATATCTTGTATAACTTATTGTTAGATATAAAAGAAAAAAAAAGTTCTGTTTTTCCTTTCATTTATGTTCATTAGTGTATTCTATGTCATCAAGCATGGTTAGTTTTATCCTTAAATACTACTTTCTTTAAAATAAAATTTTCATTTTTCATTTCGTGGACCTTTTGAGAAGAAAGTGGTCATAAACTTGCAGTAATAAAGAGATAAAGCAATTTTAAGGCAATTTCTATCTTTGAAGAGGCAATCTAGCATAGATATTATCATTTGCTACAATTAATATCTCAATTTAAATACATGGTAGCCCAAACATTAATGTATTAGAAAGAGAAACAACAAAAAATAAAAATCTAAGTATGGTTCCAATCATTTCTCTTACCTCTTAAGCATTAATTACACTATTGCAATACACCCCTGATTCAATGATAGTTTAATATAAAGGAGGTTAAACCACATCCTAGCATATTCTTGAACTGTAGTAACAACCCCGTCCGAAGACAACTTTGAACAAACACCATGAATCAAAACTCCTCTATTGTACCACTCTATGATCCTTAGGCGCTAACGAAAACACTTTTCATATTTCGATACCTCCATATTCTACAAAGAACCAGCAACATAATAACCCTTTGCAAAGAAAGATGTCTTAAGAATGGATGGCAACTCCCACAATTCAGAGACACCACCTCCATTCGAGCTTTGAATTCTCGACCCCATGGGGTGACGAGCATTTAGTGAAAAGATAGAGATGTAAGGAGAATTTTGAGGGAGTTCTTAGAGAGAGATAAGGAACTTAGAGGAGATTGAGGGGAGTCTTCTAATATTGTAATTCTTTTCTCTTGATTAGTAGATCTCTTGTCTTGCTCAATAGTTTTTCTTTGTTGAGGGTTTTCCACATTAAATTGGCATTTTCTCCTTATTATTTTGCTTTATTATTATTCACTTGCATTATTTCTTGTTGAGTCAAATTCCAACAATTGGTATTGGAGCATGAAGTGGGAATCTTATTCTCAATAGTGGAATTAGAGATTGATTAAAAGTAGAATTTTTAATTCCCAATACTTTCATCCCCTAATTCACTTTACTTGCATATTATGCATATCATGCAACTCAAACTATAGGATCTCTTACTTCTACTGGAAAGAAATTATTACTAAGCTAGTTAGGTTGTTGAAAATTTCTAACATAGTTAACATTTTGGAAAAACAATGGCCTTTGGATAAAATACTCTATTCATGTATATCATATATGTCAAATTTTATATTGATTGAATATAATTTTAACTATTTATTTGATTACATGTCTCATTAAAAAAAGTTAGAAAATGTAGTTTCTTCTATCAAATGGTTATAGATGTTAAATCAACATAAAACCTAGTACGTATGAATTACATAAGTAGAACAATCAATCTTGTGGTTTGTTCTTTGTCAGAGTTCTTTAGTTTTATAGAAGTATAAGTTTGTCTAGATTTTTTTTTTTTAAAATTGAAAGTTTATTACTTTGATATAGAATCTAGAAAATCAGGACGTCTCATCATAGTCATCCATTAAGTGGGTCCTAGTCAAGGGCTCATTTAACAGATAGCTATGATGGACATTCTAACTTCAGAACATCTTGATTTTCACTTTTTTGTACTTAATATATATTGCAAAAAAATAAAATAAAAATTGAACTCTTTAACTTTTCTAATGTAAATTACTGAGTGTAAATAACAACACAACTAATCATAGTATAAAATTCAAGAAAACCTTAAAATTATTCACCATTTATAGGAGTAGAACTCATATCTTTAAGATTGTGCGTGTCAACCTCTTGTTTGTAAAGGAAATATAAGATTCTGTAGTTATAAATACAAACAAGGGTAAATTTTGATGCAAAAGGAACACATGGAAGAATGAGAATAAATCCATTCTTCTTCCTTTTTAGGGGAAAAATTTTTTATTAAAATATCAAGGTTACTAAAACCTGTTTACAAAAGATGTAAACTTGAAAATATGACCATCCTACCATATCACCATTCTTTGTCCCTCGTCTTACCCAATCAACACCAGCCTCACCTTCTGTTAATCTCAGGCAATTTCCTTGGGATTCAAAATCCAATAAAAAAAAAAAAAACTAAATACTCCTGAATTAGTTTTTTCTTTCAACCAAAAGAAAAGTTCTATAACTTGAATTAGATCAAAAATCCTATCATCATCAACTTTCCTGAGAATATATAGATCCATTCCAAAGGAAACGAGGGTATTGAAGTACTTGGCATCACATTGTGTACCACATACATGTAAAATATACATTGGTTCCACATGAAGCTCTCTAGTATTATTTACGGATAAAATGCTGCTACTACTTGTAGCTTTTCAAAAAAAAAAAAAAAATTTGTGGTTGGAATTTAGTTTTGGCCTAGTATTGGAGACTGAATTATAATCTTAACAGGAAAAACCTAAAATGATATGACCGGTGGAGATTACATGGTGCAATGCCCGTCAGTTGAGTGATTTATTACCGTTTTGTTTTCTACTCCTAGTTAGTGAGCACCCAAAGAAATGCCATTCACTATTCTCAATTTCTTATCTTCAATTCGCCTAAAACTGGTCTTAGCAGTTGCACAGGTTTTTTTCTTTTTCTTTTTCTTTTTTATTAAAAAAATCAGAAAAAAAAAAAAAATCCTTTCATGGAGAGTCAAATCCAAAATCTCTCACTTACGAAACGGGTGCTTTTATTAACTCAGTTATGAAAGCTGGCTAGTCTTTGCACAATGATAAAATAGAAGTGTTAAAACTTAAACGTTCTTGATTTCACTTCAATCTTAGATTAGTTTGACAACGTTGTCTTGTAACGGTTAGTTATAAGTTTTTAAATCTTTTAATCTCTAAAAAATATATAAAATATATTTAATATTTATTTTAATTAACATGTTATATTTTTTAAAAAAATATTAAAAAATAGAAATGCTAAAAATTAAAGAAACAAGAATTGTTATCAAACAAAGTTTTATATGCTGATTATGTATAGTTTTTTTTTTTAATCAACAAAAGACAAATGATTATCAATAAGAAAATGATTAAAAGACAACGTTTATATATAATTTTTTATATAACTTTATATAT